AGAGAGAGAGAGAGAGAGAGAGAGAGAGAGAGAGAGAGAGAGAGAGATTGAAAATGAATGAGATAATTAAAATCCAATAATTACACAGTTAAGAAGAAAATACAAAATATTCCTTAGGTCCAGGGATCAAATTTGTACAAAAGCCAATTTCATGCAATCAACATGTGTGTTTGGCTGAGCTTTGGTTTTACTGTGTCAAGCTTCATTCAGAAGTGTCAATAAGACACTTCTAAGCCCCCTGGCAGGAGCTAAACTGAATAGGAGCTTAGAGGTTACAGCAGACACAGAGGCCCAAGGTCTCTGCAGCCCCCTGCAGCCCCCCTGCAGCCCCCTGCAGCCCCCTGCAGCCCCCTGCACCCCATCTCCTCAGCATCAGCTTCTGCTCACCATTCTCTGCTTTGTTTTCCCACAGAGGAGATTCTGAAGAGCCACATTGCGCATTGGTGGTCACCAGATGGTACAAGGCTCGCCTATGCCACCATCAACGACTCCCGGGTTCCACTTATGGAGCTACCAACCTATACAGGCTCTGTCTACCCCACTGTGAAGCCCTACCACTATCCTAAGGTAGGCAAAGGGCAGGCTCGCTCAAACCCAAGTCATTCATGAGCTTTTTCGCCCACTGGTTCCAAGTATTGTCAGACGCCTTTCGTGGCACCACTGTAAACACTCATTACATCACATGAAAGTCCCAGCACTTCTGGATCTTTATAGCATGCAGCTTCAGGAAGTTGGAAGGACCTCCCTCTGGGGCCTTGGTGATGCTATGCTGTCTTTAGTCACTGCTGGGTGTGGGAGCTTGTGTTCCCCAATATCCATATGTTGAGATCGAAAGATGATGTGGCCCTTGAGAGGTGATCAGACCATGAGTGAGAAGCCTTTAGGATTGGGGTTAGTGTTCTATGAAGGACTCTCCCTTCCACTCCAGCCATGTGAGGAGGCAGTGAACAGGCTCCATGTGTGAGGCCCAGGCCCTCACCAGACAGAATCATCAGGAACCCTGGTCTTGGACTCCAACTCCAAAGCTGTGAGGTTTTTACCTCTGTTGTTTATAAGACACCTGGTCATTGAAATTTTGGTATAGTGACCGAAGCAGACAATGGCAGGCCTGAGCCAGTGGGACAGCAAGGAGGAGGGTACAGTAGACTAGGAGGGGACTACAGACTTCTTGTCTGTATCACATCCAGCATCCAAGCACAAGCCAGGTCCATGATCCTCTCACCTGGGATGAGGCTGGCATCTAGGAACTTGGATGCAGCTCCAGAGCTGGCTAACCTACTCCCCTATGGCATCACCAAACTGCTTTAAGGCCAGTAGTCAAACAGTCATGACTCTCTTAATGCTGGGCCTGCCTCTGACCGAGAACATTTGAACTGAGACCTCCTGCTTTGTCTAAAAGCCAGCAGTGCGCGCTTCCATATCTGTGGAGGACCCATGATGAGAACAAAGGAGAAAGGCAAGCTCAACCTGGTTCCTAAAACTGTGGGCCAGAGAAAGCAAACAGTGAGCTTGTCTGGTCCAGCTGCCAAACAGAATATCACAAACCTGGGCAACTTTGACCAGAGTAGTTTCCTCCCAGTTCTGTGTCTTCACTACCACAGAAGCATTCTTGTGCAGCCTGGCTAGCTAGAATTGGGATGTTGGCGATCCAGGCCCTGATGAAGCAAAACAAATGTCTTCTCATGAGTGCCATTTTTAAAACAGGATCTCAAACATCTCAGGCTGGCCTGGAACTCTGTGTAGCTGAGGATGACCTTGAACTTCTGATCATCTACCTCCCAAATGCTGGGATTACAGGCAGGCATCGCCGTGCCTATTTTATACAGTGCTGGAGATTTCACACAGGTTTCTGTGAGTGCTAGACAAGCATGCTACCAGCAGAGCCACAGCCACACATTCTGTAGCCATTACTTCTTCACAAGGCAGGTGATGAGAGCTCTGGTAATGTCCTCTCTTTATGACACTAACACCATCATTGGGCCCCACCCACATGACCTCATCTGATTCTAATCACCACCCACAGAACATACTCCCACACGCTATTCACTGAAGGCAAGAGCTCCAGCATAGGGATCTGGGGAGTGTGACCAGTGCCCATCAAGCTCCCAGGGTGGAGGAACATGAGTCCCTGAGGCCACAGCCTTGTCTCTTTTCCTCTCCTGGGACAGTCTCTCACAGATTTGCCATTGACTGGGTGTCTCTGTTTTCCCCACCTGTCTCCAGTGTAATACAAAGTCTGCTAGCTGGACTCAGTTAACTATAATGTATGATACTAAGTCCATATCTCCCTAGCCCTTCTATATCCCCTAATATATACAACACACACACACCCACACACACCCACACACATACACCCACACACACACACCAGCCATACAAATAAATACCAATCATACATACACATGCATACATATATACATATATCCTAAACAAACGTCATTGACAACCTAACCCTCTATGACTCCTTCATTTGGTAGTATGCTCTGGGACTTGTGAGGGATTGGAAAGTGCCATCTTGCTTAGCTCTTGGGCTCCCACGTTTTAACAGAAATTCCACCAACTCTGATTGACAGTTCTGGCTACTGCCCTCTTCTCCCACTCACAGTCAGAGCCCTGAGGCACACAGACACCAGCCTGCTCATTACTGTGGGGCAGAGTCTCTCTAACATAAATGTACAGAGGGAGTGAGAACATCAGGCTAGACCAGCCCTGATGAGGCCACATCTCTCCCAAACTCTTTCAGTCCAGAATTCGTTCTCCAGACCGAAAGGATGCCTGGTCAGGTCTGTGGGTCCTTATTGATGAAGACGTTCCTGTGAGCTGTGACCAGTGCTCCGTACCTCCTGTGCATACTCTGTACTCCATGACGCTGTGCCTCTCCTGCCCTCCTCCACAGTTTCCTTCCCTTTCCTGTGGCTGACCAAGTCCCACTGACATTGGCAGACTCAGTGAACTGAATGGAACGGGAAGATGCCAAGACTCCTGGAAGGAAGAACTGGCCTAAATATCTCTTTGCCTTTTACAAATCCCGTGGTTTAGGGCTGGAGAGAGCTCACTTGGTAAAATACTTGCCATGCAAGCATGAGATCTAGAGTTTGAGCCTCAAATTAAAAAAAAAAATCTGGGTGAGGTAGGATATAGTTGTAATCCTAGCCCTGGGAAGGCTAAGACAAAATCCCTGAGGCTTACTGATAAGGTAGCTTTGGTGAACTCCAGACCAGTGAGAGATGCTGTCACAAGAAAAGAAAGTTGACAGAACCTAAGGATGCACGACACCCAGTGTCACCCTCCAACCTCCAAACAGGTACAAACACGCACGTAATGTCACATGTACACATGTGCACACATACACACACATACAGCCACATGCAGACACACAACTGATCTGTCCTCAACAGAAGTTATAGTCTTCAGTATCAATCTCCACAGTACCCGGATATGAGTCTTCCAGAAGAGATGTTGCAAAGCCAGGGTGGACTCCAGGCCATTCCTGCCAGGCTGCTCTCTCACAGCTCTGTCCCCTCACTTTGCAGGCTGGCAGTGAAAACCCCAGCATCTCCCTCCATGTCATCGGTTTGAACGGACCCACCCACGACCTGGAGATGATGCCACCTGATGACCCTCGCATGAGGTTGGTGTGACATACCATTGCATTAGGAACAAGTTCAAAAGGAAGCAATTAATACAGCATCTCCAGAATAGGCTCTCTCTCTCGTAGCAATGGCTAGATTCTAAGCACTTTGTTCTTCCAGCCTTCCTTGCCGATGTGTGGTTTGTTTACCTGGGGAAAATAAAGGGGAAACACCAGGCAGCATATACTTTAATTCTTTACCATATATCAGGATGAAGAACCTGTCCCATGAGAAGGAAGGTCCTCTGGAAAAGCATGTCTGGTCAGCCCCTGTGTCAGCAGGGACATTCACACAGCAGACAGATGACACCCATGGATGGCCTGGTACATGAAAATCCTGGAACCAGATTTCAGTGGGTGGCATCCCATTTTCAGGATTTTAGAAGACCTCTAACTGAGCAGCTGTAACACCCTGATGGGTCCTGCTCTATGAAGGCCAGACCTCCCAGTGGATGGCAGCCATGTGCTTCAGAGGACACGTGGAAATCACGTTGCTCAATCACTAGCAACATCAACTTTGTATGGACTTTCTAGTTAAATCAGAGCTGCCAACTGGGATCCCATCTACATTGGTGGGATTTGAACATCAGCTTTGCCCTTCAAGTCAAGCTATGTGGGGACTGATACCATCCAGAGTCTAGTTCCACGGCCACTGTTCCTCTGGTGGTAAGAACAGTGAGGGAAAGCGGGTGTGGTATCCCAGGGCCCACACATCTAAGGCTCTGCCCGTCTGTAAGTGGACCTGTGTGAACCAAGAGCACGCTGTTTGGAGACCCAGCAGGCACCCAGGCCAAGTTTTGTCATCTAGCTAGCCTGGATCTTCATGTTTCAGTCACTTACAAATCTCCACATTATTAGAAGTTTCTGGCAGCTCCTGGAAGAGCTTGACCTAGCTGTTCTGGCTTCTCCTGGGGAGGGTTCCCCACCACATGCTCACCCTCTGTTCTCTTCCTGACATTGAACCCTCTGTTCCCTAATGTGTAGTTTTCTTCACTAAGGCAGCAGTGCTCATTCGACATTAGCAGACTGAGCAACATGGTACAGCCCTGTAGAATTGTGCAGGGGCCTTGGGTGTTTGGGGGTAGGGGATGAAAAGAATGATCTTCAGAGAGGTCCACAGCACCCCTCCCATGCAGAATTCTACTGAGGCCCTTTAACCCTTTCTTCAGTGGGACTTGATGCCATGGTGCCCATGGGAGAGAATGGGGGCAAATCAGGCTTGGAACCTGTGCTCTGTAAAAGGAGAGCCTCTTCCTTTCTCTTCCTGCCCTGGACTGGTTTTACCCCTTAACAGTCAGGATTAGGTATCTCCAGCTGAGGTCTCATAAACCTGAACCCAGGCATCTTCCTAGGGCAGGACTCCTGTGGCTCGTCACCAGGCAGACCCCTCCATGTACACCGGTTGAGGAAGACCAGACAATTTGCCTGACATTCTTAGCGAAAATGAATCAGCTCAGGTTATTGCTCCATATCTTTCCTGAAGATTCCTCTATTCCATCATTTCCTTCTCAGCCAATCCCTGCCAAGCCTCCTGGGGCCCGGTCCAGCCAACATGCTGAATTAATACGGAAAGTCACCTGGAAAATTTCAGCCATCTGTTTGAGTTAATTGGGAGTCTCGTTTAGTCAATTTGGTGATGCTGTTTCCACAGGCTTGATTAACTTCAAGGACAATGAAAAATTAGCTGCAGTCAGTACGTAAAGTTTGAACGCTGGCTTTCAGGTCTTCTGCTTGCTCAGATTTCTTACACTAAATGCAGCAGCATGCTTCAAGGACAACACAAATCTGTGACATACAGATGCTACTCAACCTACTGACTCTCGTCACACTGCCTAGAGAGTGTTGGTTTTTATGGCTTATTTGTTTTTATTTTGTGTCTACAAGTATTTTGCCGGCATTTAGACATGTGTGCAGCACAAGCACTCAGTGCCTGCAGAGGCCAGAAGAGGGGGTCAGATCCCCTGGAACTGGAGTTACAGATGGTTGGGAGCCGCCGTGTGGGTGCTGGGAACCCACACTGAGGTCCTCCTCAAGATCAGCAAATACTCTTGGCCTCTGAGCATCTCTCTGGCCCTAGTAGAGAGTTCTCTAAGATGCACTCAGAGATTTCAGAGTGCAGTCTCAGTGCGAGCACAGTTGGTATTTGCCTGTCACTCAGCCTAACTCTAAGAATTTAGTAGTGAGTGAGCACGAAGCCCACAGTATAGAGGGTGAGACAGAGATCAGGCAAAGTGTCACAACCATGTAAACAACCATGGGCCTGAGAAGAATCATGGAAGTGCAAGAAAAAAAAAGACGCCATTTGTCTGGAGTTGACCGGGTCATAGACCAGAATTTCTCAGCCTGAACACACATGAAATCTTAGAACTTTTGAGTCTTGTGGGGCTCCCCTGTGCATCACAGAGTCCTGAATCTGCCCTGGTTCCTCTCTACTCACCCCCAGCAATGAATGGAAGAGGCTTTCTGACATCAACAAAGCTCCAGACACATAATCCCTGACATGAAATGAGGTTCCTTGCCCACAGACTGGACTCAGTTCTGTGGTCTGAGACATCACCAGGCTCTCTTGCTGGTTCTTTCCTCTGTAACGAGGGAGAAAGTTCCCATTACAGAAGTGTGTAGTGTAGGCATAAATTTTTTGCAACCACTTTTAGTAAGGGTTCAACCTCTCCTCTAGCCCACCACCCAGCAGAAGTAGTGGAAAGGAAAAGTTATTAGGATATGGGGGAATGGGACCTGTTAGCAATAGTTCTTTGGTGGAGAGCTCAATCTTCTTTCTCCATAGGTCAGTCCTGTAGCAAACACCAAATACAATGTAGCAGCTGCAGAGCAGTCCTCTAGGCAGGCAGACACCACACACGAGCCAGCAGCTTCAGTACAGTGCTCTCAGCAGACAGACACATTGAACAAACTAGCAGGTGCAGTTAAATCTTTCAGAAACTTCCAAGTTCACCAACCATCCCGAGGCAAGGCTGTGAGATGGGTTAAGCTGCAGCAGGAACCTCATGAGCAGTTCTTCTCTCAATGGCAGCATTGCCACAAGTTGAGCTCAACAATGCTATGTAAGGCGAACCAATACCTGTGTGTCGTTAGAGTAGAATAGTGAGGGAGAGCAAACCGAATCAATGCTCAATGCTCTTACTCCAACTGTCTGTGGGGTTATGTTTATACTCCTTCATCACATGTCCTTTCATGTGTCTGCCATATCAAAACATCCCTTCGCTTGTGTCTGCTTCAGAAGAACAGTCTTTCCTGTGTCTGCTTTAGCCAGACATCCTGTGTGCCCCAGAAAAAAACATCATTTGACATCATTGACTTTCCAAAGAAACTAGTAGTCTTCTGGGTATCTGTCGAACTCTATGAGGCAGTGCAGGGACCACAGGCCTGGCCCATGCAGCCATCAGTCTTCTGGCTGGCCATATTCTCTGCCGGCCACAGCTTTCCCCTCAAGAGTCTCCTATATACCAATGAAGTTCTTGTTTGTGTTGCTAACCGGCTGCTTAGCATCACCACTGGGCATTCTCAGTTAAGCGGTGAAATTGCGAGTCTCAGGTGAGACAAGGGACTTGAGTTGAAGATTTGATTTAACTCTAGAGTTAACAAAGGATGCAAGAATGTGCCACATGGGTCCAGATGCCATTGGAGAAGCCGCGTATCTGGAGATAATTCAGCAGACATGTGGCAATGAACTTGCTGGATTCCTGCTGCTCCAGCAGGCAGAGTCCAGAAGAGTCCTCTGCAGCAACAGGGTTACAAGTTGCCTAGTAAGACAAAAGCAGTCAACACCAGAAGGGATGCTCCTCCTAATTTTGCAGGATCTCATTTGCCCCTGACTCCAGTCCCAGGGCACTCTACCACCTTCTTCTGGTCTCCATAGGCAGCCCTACACATGTAGCATACATATACAGGGACACAAAAATAAGAAGTAAAAAGTAATACTTCAAATTTAGAAAGTGAAACGAGACCCTTGCCTCTTGTAGGGTGTAAAGGGAACTTTTTCAAACACCTCAAGGAACAGTGAGATGGGCCTGTGGGTAAGGACACTTGCAGCCAAGCCCTGGCTGCAAACTTGGACCCAAGTTTGATCCAGAGTCAACTCACAAATATTGTCTTCTAACTTGCATACATGCACTGTGGCACACACATACAATTATGAGAAATTTTAATGCCCTTGAAAATGTAGGAAGAAGTAGGCAAGAACCTTGGAAGTGCAGGCCTAAGTCAGCAGGTAAGCCTACAGTCAGCAGGAGGACCTACAGTCAGCAGGCAGGCCTACAGTCAGCAGGAAGACCTACAGTCAGCAGGCAGGCCTACAGACAGCAGGCAGGCATAGAGTAAAGAAAGACACCAGACACCGTGTCGGTTTTCCTGACACATGGCTGTTCTTGGCCTCTCCCCAGCCTGACATCCTTGCTACTGTATTACACTGGCCCTGTAAATCTTTCCACTTGGCTCCCAGGCCCTCAGGTTTTCTATGTGCCATGAGCTGTTTGGCACTAAGGCAATGTCGATCCTCCATGGGAGTGCACAGTCCCCAACGCTGTGACAGCCTTCTGCTGTAAAGAGGTGGGGCAGGAGCCAAATGCAGAGTGAGAGGGTCCAGTGGAAGTGTTGAGAGCACCTCACAAACACATCAGGAACCTACCAACATCAGAGGCATCTTGGGAAACGTGTTAAGGAGAACTGAGAATAACCCTGTGGTGTATGCAATTCATACAAGCACTCCATATACATAAAAATGAATAAATACATCTTTTTTAAATTATAATTTTTTAAACATAGATATACATTTTGATCTGGATATAAATATGGCTACTTATAGAGACAGGGATATGTTTTAGTTACAAGTGAAGATATAGGTGCCTGTTCTCTCCCTGTTTTCCCCTACAGCCATGTAGAGATTGTCCATGTCCATGAGTGTGTATATAGCATTCAGCCAACATACTGTACACCCAAACTGTACAGAGGGAGTTGGTGAGCAACTCCATTTCCTGGGCAGC